AATAGTAATAGATCTAAGTCCTCGTTACTACCCCAAAACCCCAAAACCCCAAAACCCCTCATTGTAGAATTAATTTATGCTTTTAATTGGGATAGAACGATGAATTTATTTATAATAAATGGAATTTATGAATGCACAAAAAAGAAAGCATAACTCTCCAAACAAACATGTGATTCAATATAGAATGCCTAATAAAACTGAGAGATCTCATAATTATAATAATCAAGTATAATTCGATGTGAACATCTAGCCAGATAATGATCAGATGAATGAATACGACGAGGAAGAAGTGTACATAATGACCGTTGAGGATGACATTCTTGAAAATAAATTCTCAGAGGATGCCCGAAGTCCTAAGTTAGAAAGGCTTTTGAATTAGAAAATCAATAATAATCGGTTATCTAAAAATAGCAAGCAATTAGATATAGATCAGAATGATATTGAAGATGAGTCAAAAAGCCTTAAATCAGTTGACACACTTAATCATGAACTCAACATAACAAATGATAATAGATTAGCTTTTAAGATTAAAGGTTTGATTTCTATCGAGAATCAAGAGACTTTTTTCAATAATAATTAGGAAGATTTGTTTGAGAAAGAAATAGAGGGAATAAATCTAAGACATCTAAATAACAATAGTTAAATGAGTATTTAAGATTAGAATTCCTAGCTAGACACTACTCCAACAAATATACCAACTATTAAAAAGTTAAAAATACCCTCACAATATGATAAAACCTCAACAAACTCTAGATATAGATCAATGATTAACAAATATCAATAACTTCGCGTGAATTAAAACAAGACTAAGCCAAATACTCATAAATCATCAATTATCAGTGTGAGTCAATAAAAACGACAAAAAAATACCACTACAACTACTACAATAGTGCAGCATTTAAATAACCACCACGGCGCAGCAGATCTAAAAAGCAGCTTAAAGTCTAATCTTCCAACTGATGTAACCGAGAGATACAATCATCAGATGTGGTAAAATAAATCACCTAATATTGTAAACAGACTCTCACCTATAATGAATAGATCAATCACTCCAGAAAATATTGAAAAAGAGGTTAGACGACTTAGATAGCAGGTGTACTATAAGGAATATGTGAGGCCATTGCAAATCAGACAATAATAGTTACACTAAAAGAAAATAAAGCAATATCAAATCTTATAAAGTAAAACATCTTAGGATAGAGTTCGAAAGTCTTCATAAGAAAGTATTGATAAGCAGACTGTAGACTTAAGCAAAATACTAGACATTTCTTAACATAAAGAACTAGGTGAAAAAGTAAAGAAAATGAGCATTTCTGACTATTATTAGAACAAAAGACTTAACCTTAGAAGTAATCACAAAAAGGTAAATGTAAGTATGGATTCATAGACTCTGAAGCTTAATACGAGTGAATTTATGACTTAGATCAAAGATTTATCTCATGCTATGCTTGAAAATGGGCCTGAAGACATAATACCTATGATATTATAAACAGACCAAAATAAGTTAAAATAAGAACTTATAGATTAGGAAAAAGCAATAAATATTATGAAAGGACTCAAAGAAGTAGAAGAAGATGAAGGTGGTTCAGTAGACAACAAAAATTCGCAAGAAAACTTTACAAGTTCTATACTGTTTAAAGACTAAATGAAATCTGATAAAAAGCTAGAAAATCATATCAAGTAATAACAGTGGAAATCTTTTATAGAGTATATCAAGGAAAAACCAGATAAATTTCTTAGAATGGTTCCTTCAAATCACAAAACACTCGAAATACCTGAAAGGGGATCAAACGCTACTTTGTTGAAGAGACCAGCATCAAGATTTTAAACCTTAGGCAGTTAGTATCTAGCTGGAATCGAAATGAACAGACCCAGTTCCTGTAATTAAGATGCTCTAATGAGTTAATCAGGCATAAATCTACTAAGACCTGAATCGAGGTAAATAAACACTGCAGGGTATGGAATGAGGCCAAGAATGAATTAAAATAGTGATTTGGCTAATGCAATTGTTAATTTTAGATAAAGTCGAGGTGTCAAGAGTCATTACTAATCGACTGGTAGAGTGGTTATGAGTTCTAATTTTAGTAAGAACAGATATAACAAGCTTTCAAAGAGTAGACCAAGTCATATGTCAACTTAATATACAAACTATCTTTAAGGCGATGATAACAAGAATATGGGAAGAGTCAAGACAAATGACAATAATAATTTAAGTTCTATTTTTAGCAATTAAGATAGTGGGATGATAAACAATCGCCAGCAGCTAAATTAATCCTAGAATCACACTAATAATTAATCATTTAGATAAGATTAAAGTAATGAAAACATCCCCATAATCGTTTCAAACGAATTCCAAAATAGGCCTAAGACTTCCGCTTCTGCATAGCCCCGAGCCTTGTTGCTGCTTAAAAAGAAAAATGACAAAGATGGTAGTTTACTATCGAGTGTCAAATTTCCTGAGAAAAATAGCAAAACACCTTTGATGAAAATATCTGGTCCAACTAAAGTAGCAGATCTTAGTTAAATGGATACCTCAATTTTATCAATATAAGAAAGAACTAAGTAAAAGATTAGCATTTATGAAAGAGCAAATAGAAAAATGGACGAAGATTAAAAACGATTATTACGAAAGAAGTGGAAAGGTTATTCATTAGCGAATGACTTAGCAGGTAAATTCAAAGTAGAGGAATATAAATAAAATCCAAATTTCAATAAATTTCAACGCTAAGTCAATCAAAATGGTCCACTTAGGTAAGCTAACCTCATTGATTGGAAAAATAGTAAGATCAGAGCATTTATTGAGAAGAATCAGCTAGATTTTAACTTTGAAGAGGATGAGAAATTCTTCAAGACAGCAGACATTGAATATATGATTAACCTCTTCAGATACAATGGCAAATTTTTCTCAAATATAGATCAGCTAAAACCAGTATTCAATAAAGCTTTAGCAACTTTGGAGAAAATAATGGATGAGCTTATGATTGGCTACATCTTTGACAGAATATCATTGAAAATTACAGAGATTAGCCCTGAAAACGCGATGAAAATTCTTTTAAGATGCAGATTAATGTTATAGTACAGGTCACATATAATCAATATACTCTAGATAATAGACTTAAGAGAGGTCAAGCTCAAAGATCTAAATTATATAGTGATCAAGGGAGATGAACGTCATGGATAACCTAATGATAACAATAAGAGTCATAGTAGCATTCGCACTATTAATACAAAGGGCTCAGGAGATAGAAAGCCGAGTCAATCAAGAGTTGGACATGGTTCTGCAAATTAAAAGAAGCAGTAAGAAAATAAGTAAGCCAGTGCTATTGATTAAATGCTATCATTTGAGAAGAAACTGGAATAAAAGTAGGAGAGAGAAGAGCTGATTAAAGAAAAGCTAAAAGACCTTAATGATTTAACAACTAATTTTATCAATAAAGTTAGGGATCTAATCAGTGTTAAGAGAATATTTGGCAACAAATTTATATATGATGGCATGGACTACATTAGTGTGGTCACTAATGAGATGAGACAACTGACTCAAATCCTTCATATGTTTGGGATTGAATTCCAAGTATCTCAGCGTAACACTACTAGCTACAGATTGAATTAATCTTAGGACAATGAAGTTAATGAAGTAGATATCAGAGCTATAAGAGCAGGTAGCTATCAATTAAATATGAGTTAAAATCTTAAGGACTAGTAAGTAAAGTTTGAAGAACTGCAAGCCTCGGTAATAAGTAGAGTTGGATATGGGTCAATGTTTGAAGATCTTGGTTCTAAAGATACCACTGTCAAAATAGATAATACCTCAATGATACATAACGACAGTATATTGGGAGAGTACAATTTGATTCAGGCTCAATAGTAAAGAAGTCAGATAAGCTACTTCCATGAGGACATACCTAGTGGCTATAGATCAAATAAATTTAACACTGAAAAGTCTACTGTATAATGAAGTAATTATTTTAGAAAATTTCCTTAATAAATATATACGTCCTACATAGATAATACAATTTTCTAAAATTTAATAAATAATAAAAGAATCACTCAATTTCTATTTAAATTATTCAATGAGGGTTTTGGGGTTTTGGGGTTTTGGGG